GCACCTGCCCATCCACCCACCCGTCCGCCTCCACCCGTGACACAGTCTGCGGCCCAGACTCTGCCTTGGGTACTCAAGGTCTGCAGCAAATGACCACTACTGAGGAAGTGACCACCACTGGGCATCTGCCGTGTCTTGGTGCTGTTCTCACCTCCACATGGGAGTAGCCATGATGACTCACTCTCTGGCGGATAGCTGAGGTTATCAAGGCTCTGGCAAACTGGCTAGCCAAGGGCTGAGTGGATGGGATCCAGAGGAGAGAAGACTTTGTCTGAGATGCGCTGGCAGGATCAGCCAGTTCAGGTACCTTGTGAGGGTGGAAACTGAGGCTCCACAGAGCAAAAGGCTTGGCCAGGGCGTGCAGCAAGTCCCCAAGTCCAGCAATCACCCTGTCCAGGCTTCCTCTGGTCTGGGCACAGGCTGGAGCTCCAGGATGACCCCTTTTTCTCAGACAATGGTGTCCACTCTGAAACAAGCCCAGACCAATGCTTCCACAGACCATGATTTAAGGCAAGTCCGGATCAATCTTGGGAGGCTGTGTTCCACCCTGCACCGTGCTTTGATTTACAATGTGAAGGAAATGGTCACAGGGTCGACGCCTGGTTCCGGTTTGGGATTCTGCACTATTCTCTGTGTACTTCAGCCCAGCATTTATTTACACCACTGGAGTGTGAATTCTATGAATAAATTTTATTATCTCGGGGCTTCGTGATGACAAAAACATGAAAGCCGTTTGAATGGTGAGATGCCCGTGCCTCCTCATTATGCCCAGCAGGGCCGGGGGAGGGGCCTCCTGGGAGCTTCATTTAGATTTTAATTAAACTGACTTTCCCCAAACAATTTGCAATAAATTAGTGCCAACCAGGGCTTGCAACATCTAGGCATAAGGCACAGGCTTTCACGTGGGGTCACAGCATGAGCTCCGCCTTGCTTGGTCCTAGGTTTGAAGAACTGTGAATTCCCAGTGTCCTCATCTGCCTGGCCCCCCACTGCCTGATGCAATCCACTGGCTGGGGAGTTAAGAGAAGGCTGCTATGGACCCTGTGTTTCATACTTGGCCCAATCCCAGCTCAGCTTGGTCATCTACACCAAGATGGCCAGAGAAGAGTGGACCCCATGCTCTATGCCATTCAAGTCAATTCTCCCGAGGAGCAGAAGGAGAGCTCCAGAGAGCCTAGGATAACCCCAGAGAGCCTGGGATAGCCCCAGAGAGCCTGGGGTAGCCCCGGATAACCTTATTTAGGCTCTAGTTTAACATGTTCAGTCCCCCATGTGGGTCCAAGAATGGGGCTGGGACCACCCTACAGTGGGTTCTGAAGAGGGACAGAGCACATGGCCTTGTCCAGGTGGCTCTCGGAGCCTCTGGCTCTCACCTCTCAGCTGCTCTAGGGAGGAGGGGAGGCACTGCAGTTCCAGAAGAGCATCTGTCCATTAATTGCCCATGGCAGCCTGGCAAGCCTGATGCCCTTGTCAGCCCTACTGTGCAGAAGGACACCGAGGCTCTTGTGATGGACCTAATCTGGTCCATCTTCTCAGATCTGGGCCCTAGGCCTTTCGTAGTTTTCCCAGGGCTGAGTTGACTGAACTGGTCCCCAGACAGCCTCTGTGCAGCCCAGGCAAGGTGACAGAGTGGATGCTTCAGCCCATTCTTCCCTGAGCCAACCCTTCAGCTCTCTGCCCCTGCTGTGACTGAGGTTCAGGCTGCGGGCAGTGGCTGACCTGTCTCACAGGCATGCCATGTACTCAAGAGGACAGGGTTCTGAACCTAGTTATACAGGCCACTATGATCTGTAGGGACATCAGAAGCATCTCTTAGAAGGCTAAGGAGAGCTGGTCTACAGCCCAGGGGCCAGACTCTTACTGGGACACATGCATGTCCAGGCTGAGCCTGGGAGGCCTGGTCCATGAGATGGGTGACAGGAAGGCCTTGTCACATGACCTATGGCATGGAGTGGTGTCCTTCCTGCTATGCTGATGGAGTCATGCAGAGCCTCAGCAGACAGGGCCAGAGTCCTTATCCATGTTTCTGGCATTCTCAGAACAATTCTGAGGGTATCAGTTATGAGATGCCAATTTGGGGTTCTGCATATCCGGATTGAAAAGCTGAGGATCCAGCATGTGAGCTCGTAGCTCCCACATGGAAACACAGCTTCCTCATCTGTGTGGGTCAGGGAATGTGGTCTGGGAGGACCCACCTGAGGGTCCCAGGCAGCTTCTGGAGTCTTCTCCAGCTCCTAGCATCACTGGTGGGGTTCAGGAAGAGGCTGGGAATGTTAGCAGCACGTGACTTGAAAACAACAAACTGAAGGAAACTGAAGGGGATGGGGAGCAGCCATGGCACCCAGTGTCTACCCAGCGGGGGTTGTCCCTGTCCCGGCTGGCTGGAGCATCTGCTCCTACAGCTGGCTGCCTGCCACCCAGTGCCATCCGGTGCCGCTGCCATCCGGTGCCGCTGCATTGCAAGACAATAACATTTCATGGCATTTTGCTTGTGTTCAGTCATAGCCCATTGGCTTTATGGAAACACTCTCAGAGAGTACTTCCTGAGCAAGGAGCAGAACTGTTTCCCAGCCCCTTGGAGGAGCACCTTGATGGTCTGAGTGTGAAGTGGAGAGGTCTGCCCCTTAGCAAGCACCGCTCTGGTTTCCAGTTGCTGTCACAGGAGGTAGGAAGAACAGGGTCCTCTTGCTTCCTGCGGCACTAATGGGATCCACGAAACCCTCTTACCCGGAACGATTGTTGGTGTGGGGTAAGGTTGCCGTTTGCTGGGTAGAGCATCTTCCTGGAGTGACTGACCTTGATGACCTCAGAGTAGTCAAAGATGGCATCCCCCAGCAATGTGAAAGGAGCCTTGGACTATGCCCAGGAGACCTGAGCCGTGTCCAGCTCTTCTCCTACCTGCTCCCTCACACTCGTCCCGCCTGGACCAGAACTAGTGTCAGCTTGGGTGGGGAGGGTGGAGTGGACTGAGGTAGGAGCAGAGCTTTGTGAGTCAAATGAGGTTCATTCACTCCCGGTACATCCCCCCTCCCTGTAGCTGGTCTGGAAACCTGCGACAGCCACACAGCTGGCTGTGCTGTGCTGCCCAGCCCAGCCGAGAGCGAGAGCCGCAGACTCAATTGTGTCTGGGCTTGCGACAGCGTTAATAGAGTCCACACCCTACCTGTCTCCAGGCGCGGCAGCGGGACCTTGGTGCCAGCACTTGGCTTCCAGTACGATCCTTCTCGTCACTGCCAGCTTCACACGCAGTGGCTCCCAGGCCCGCAAGGTACGGCTGGGCCCTGGGCCATCTCTGCCAGGCCTTGTTCCATCTGTGGGAAAACCCCAGCTCCTGGGTGCCTGTGCCACGCCCTCTGCATTTCCCTGTTCTTGTCCCAACCTTGGAATCAGGCTTGTAGGAATCTACAACCTGGCCGACCACCTCTGCCTGGCCTCCGTGTCCAGCATAGTCAGTCAGGGAGCCAAGTGAAGCTGGAGCCTGTAGGCTGAAGTACAGTCAGAGTCAAGAAGGCCCTTCTATGTGGGGAAACTGAGGCACAGAGGAAAACAGAAGACTGCTGAGAGCAGCCCAACAAGAAAGGTAGGGCTGAGTTGGGTTCCCTGGTGGAACATGCTCTTGGGGCCTCAAGCTGTGGCCATGGTCCCAAGGTGCCTTCTTAACCAATTGGGCATAGTCTGAAGCATGCTGGACACAGCTCCTGGCGATGTGCCACCAGTGGTAGTTACTTTGAGAATGATTTTAATGCTCCCAGGAACCTTGAGGGGTGGATGCTTCCATGGTACAGACAAGTGAGAGAGCAGACGAAGAGCATGGGCTTCCAGGGAGCCACTGACTGCTGAGCCCGTGGCGTATCTAGGACCACGCCTCCTACAAGATCTCCTGGCCCATCTTCCCTGTGTGCGCATGTATGTGTGCCTAGATTTGTGTTACACGTGCGTGTGTGTGCACAGGTATAGGCACTTCAGAAGCAGAGACAGGAACACAAGCCTCACTCTGCAGACCCCCAGCCTCAGAGTGCTGCCCCTGTGGTCACCTCCAGACCTCCCGACAGTCCCACTGGTGACTCTTCGTTGGCTGGGCTTCTCCCCTTCCCTGCCATGCACCTGACAGCCCTCGATGCCCGCCCTTTAGGCTGACATTCCTGGCCTTCAGGCTCCATGCCAGTCTGCCAGACCCCAGGGGAAGATGGCAGCTCTGCTCAGCTGTTTGACAGCAGAGAAGTTGGTGTCAGTCGGTGTGGGTGGGGCAGATCATCTTCCTGGTGGCTCAGCCATCCAGAAAGAGCCAACCTTATCTGGTCCCAGCTAGGCAGGTGGGCGAGAGTCACGGGTCGCTTCCTACCCAAGGATGCTGTCCACAGCTCCACAGCCACAAAGGGCCGATCTGAGGCTGCTCCTGTGACCTTGCCTTGTTCGGCCCTGCTGTGCCCAGAACTAGCACTGGCTGAGCAGATATCGCTAAAGGATCCTGGAAACCTAGCATCAGAAGTTTTGGAATCTTCTGGCAAGTTCTGCATCCTGACTGGTGTCAGGAAAAGGCTCCAAGGCTAAAGTGATGAGTGAAATTCCCCGCCCCACACAAGACAAAGCTAATTTAATGGTTCGTGTTGTCGAGTGGAAAAAATGGGGCTAGTGTCTACATTCAACAAGAAGCTGGAAACAGCCTGCCAGGTAACATTTGGGGAGAAGTGGTCCAGAAATTATGTTAGGAAACTGCAATCTGAGATCGTCAAGCAAGAAGCCTTTGGACCGGGGCTGGAGGGTATGAGGGGGAAAAGTTGCATGAATGGCCACCTCAGAGGTTTCAAGTGCAAAGCCTGCTGTGGTAAACAGCTGGGGTGCCAGGGGCAGCTCCACAGGAGCCTTTGAGACAGGAAAAAGTAAGTGCAGAGAACAGGGAGGGGGAGGAGCACCCTCAGATACTTTGGGTTGGAGGTGCTGCACAACTTAGATTTTATTTTTAATCAGAGTCAGGGGAAACGGGGCGGGCTGTGTCTTACCTGCTTGTAAGGGTCACTCTGGCTGCTGGGTGGAAAGCACATCTGGAGACTACTGCCTAACTCCAGAAGGCATCGGTCAAGCCTGGAGACACATTAAAGGGAAGTTCGTAGGGTGTGGGGAGGGAGAACACAGGGCAGACGTGGTCCTGATGCGGACAACAGTGCTACCTTGCAGTTAGGCAGCTGTGGGCATCTCAGGTGTGGGATGGACAGTGTACACAGACGCTTTGTGGCCTGGTGAGGCGCCAGCATAGAGGTCAAAGCAAGAAACAAATGGAAAAGCAAAGTAAATGGCCACACCTGACTCTGGCAGACAGACAGACATCTCCCAAGACTTGGAGCAGGAGAAGGGTTAGACTTGAGAAACGGGGGGGGGGGGGGGGGCAGTGGGGGGGGCAGGAATCAAACAGAGAAAAGATAAAAAAGCAAAACAAAGACCGTGATGCAATGCTCACCCAGTCAGCAGCCTCCCAGAGGAAGACAGGGAATAAAAGGAAGACTCAGACAGAGCTGATGTGAAGCTAAAAAGCGGGAAGAGGGCTGGAGAGATGGCTCCGCGGAGGAGCACTGGGTGCTCTTCCAAGGACGCCATTTGGTGGCTCATAACCATCTCCAACTCCAGTTCCAGGGGGTCTGACTTCTGGTTCTGGCCTGCGTGGACACCAGGCATCTGTGGGGTGCATCGACATACATACAGGAAAAATGACCACGTGCAAAATTAATTTTCAAAAATCAGGGACAGTGGTCTAACAGCAGAGCCTGGGGACAGACCCAGGGTCTGCTGGGAAACGACACATGGTCTTGGACCAGGTGCAGTCCTAGTCATCAGCAGGGGATGTCCACATTCTAGACTCTTCACCCAAAAGCCAAGTGCAAAGAGTGGATTACCATACCTCAGGGAAAGAACAGACTAGCCAGAGTTCTCCACCAGGGCACTCAGAATAGAATAGAACTGTTACTCCAGTTCAGCCACAGAAAGCAGCTTCCAAAACACTCAGGACACCAGGGACTGCTGTCAACCCCGAGCAACACAGAATGAGTCTCAGCCAGCACCTGGGTGAATGAGGAAATCAGGGGCACAGGCTGCTCAGGGCCAAGTCCAGAGTGAGTGACAGAGGCCAGAGCTGCAGTGTGATGCCACCACTGTGGAGTGAGCTTGTTCCCCAGTGAGCCTTCCTGCCGGTGGCACCCACCAGTGTGGTCTGTTCCTTCTCCCAGGTAGTTGCTCCCTTCCCTGGGTGCCTCTGGCTTCTTTAGGACAGCAGGAGGGATCTGTGAGTTCCATTGTGGGTCTCAGGGAGCCATGTCCATTCTTGGTCTCTTGTAGGTAGACCCTGAAGTAAAGTGTCCCACCTGAGGTTCCCATAAAGCCAGACTGAGGTAGGGACTGTCCCTCCTCCCACTGCCCCCTCCCCAGGAGAGTATTCTCGTGAAATTGCTGGCATCACGTTCTTGGCTAAACATCTGCCTTGAAGAACCAGGCCTCACATCAAAGACTCAATGTCTCTCTTAAGTGCATCCACATGCAGGGTCAACATGGACAGCTGGGTCCCAGCACTCTTGAAGCCCGGCAGAGGCAGCTTCCATCAAAGGCCTACAGAGTACCGTGGTGGTGAGAAATGCTTGCTGCAGCAGGTCAGTGGAGCCCCCAGCACAGCAGGGCTGGTGGGATGGGGTGATGCTGGTCACAGTGCCTGTAAATGACACAGGACAAAGATCCAGGGCCTGCATGACCTCCACCCTCCAACCCTCCTGCCTGTCACTAACGTACAGTGTAGCCAAGGTCTTTGCTTGCTCTTGTCCCCATTCTGCTGTGGATATCTCTGTGCATCTCCCAAGCCGAGAGGAGCAGGTTGAGGCCTCACCTCACGGGCCGTGGTATGGTCAGTCACATGCCAGCCTCTGCCTTCCGACCTCAGCAGTCACAAAGCCGCCTGTTATCCAAGAACTTGGACCGGAGGTGATTAACTCTGATGACCTGGAAGTCAGTGCAGGTGGCTGCAAGTGTTTCCTCGGGAGAAGTTGCCGCCCACAAATGTCACCGTGGGATAAATGTCACTCATAGGCACAGACACAAAGCAAGTCACCGAAGATCTACAGCAGGAAATCTCCACTTGGCAGTTTTTGAGGGCATTCAGATTTACTATAGAGTGAGGTAGAGCTTGGAGGCTAAAAATAGTCTACTCAGCTGGCTGGATGAGTGCCTGACATCTCACAACCCATCAATGTGCTCCCAACATCCCAGGGATCCACAGCGCCACCCTTTGCGGGGCTCTGCCCAGGTACTCACAGTGACTCCATGCAGAGGAAGCAAGTTGGCACCATACTTCAGAGGAAAGAGAAGAAGGGGAGCAGAATCGCCCGCCTGTGGTCTGGACGAATGTGAGCCCCAGTTAGAGCCGGGCACTCACTACACAGACAGCTAAGGTCAGAGGCCTATCCTGAGTCTAACTGGGACCTTGGGGCACAGAGCTGAGGGTGGTAAGTGGAATGGGGAAGGCTGTGGCTCGCCATGGCCATGGGATAAGGACAGAGATGAGGACTGATTACCAGCAGCGGGTCATGTAAGCGGCCTAGGGACAACAGGCAGGTGAGGATGCCAGAGCAATGCCCAGCGTCAAAGAGTTCAGGGGGTGGATGGTAGAGTTCTGAGTTCCCGAGAAGAAAGGGAGGGACAAGATCTAGGCACAGCCTGGGTCACACACACCAGAAACGTGTGTTGTCGGGAAGGGATTTGGTTTTGTTTTTCTATAGGTACAAAAAAGACTTGAATGCATTTCTGACTAACTTGAGATTAAAAGGCAGAAGAGAAAGGCGGGAATCAAAGATGCAGCAGCCACGGGGTACGGAGCAGAGCCTGGCTCTGCTCAGTCGTACCGGGAGGGCAGAATGAGGTCACATTTGGAATCAGAGTCCGGATCATGTGCTGTCTACAGAGACATTTCATAAACTCTGATTCGTGGCTGAAGAACAAAGGATGGATACAAACACAGACGAGATGACCAGAGGAATGACGAAGATAACCTCAGTCAAAATGACTCACGGTGCAAAACCACGTGTGTCAATAGAGGTATCAGACCCAGCACAGCTGTGACAAGCTTGAACCTGCATGTGCTCAGCCTCTGACACAAATGCACACAGAAAAACTGTTAGATGCATCAGGACCTACCGGACCTAGTCATGACAGAAATTCACAAAGCATTGTTAGCATGAAGGGAGGAAGTGTGTAAAAGTAAGAAGGGTGTCGAGGTGCAGTCCCTACTATTCAGAACAGAGAGCCCATAGGCGCTTTACAGGTCACATTTTATCTCTAATCTTGAAATGCTGCCTGTTTCCCCATAAATCCACGGAACAAATAAAAAGTCACTTGATGTCACTCATCAGGGACACGCAATCTTTAAAGAAACGAGCCCTTGTCCCACTGCCAGACTAGCAACAGGAAGTGTCCTAACTGACAGACATGGTGACGGGCCAGGTCCAGACACTGGCACTCTGTAGGACCCAGTGTCTCGTCCTGCACAGTGACCACTGAGCTTCGGTGACTGGGCCATCTCCTTGTAGAGGACCCAGTCCATGTCCACCGGGTTCTCCTTTCTCTGTTCCTGTGACCATCAGTGGTCCAGAAAGAGGGCTGAATCCTCAGGGTCCTGGAAAGACATAACAGCCTGCCACAGTGACATGGAGTAGGCTAACGAGTGTCCTCCTGTCATGACTTGGAGTTCAGGGACCACAGCACACCCAGCCCTCTGTGACCTGTACAGAGGACACTTTAGTAGTCCCTATACGGCTTTCAGTGGCTAACGTGCGAGCCTGCAAACCTCCTCTGAGCCTCTGGCTTCCTTTGAGCAGCTAGCTGCTCCCGTGACAGCAGAGAGAAGAGACGGCCAGGGACCCGAGGCCAGCCAGGGGAGACCTACGAGGTGTGAGTGTGCTCTGTGGGCATCTCTTCATGGGCCTGCCTAGAGCTCTAGACTCAGGCTGCGATCTGAGGACCAGAGCAGACAGGAGAGAGCTCTCACTGTGGTTCAGCCTGTGCCAGATCAGCAGTGACGTAAGTGGGCAGCAGGTTCCTGGGGCTCTTAGCTGCACAGTGGGAAAGACATTCAAAGCCCCAGACCTCTGAAGAGCAGACTAAGGTCCTGAATCCTGTCCTTGCTGAGAAGACCAAGATGCCAGAGCAGACCCTGGAAGCCACTGGGGCTACGTCTGAGCTTCTACGGAGCCACTCTGCACAACCCTTCTTGGGCCTGGGGTCACCCTGTTCTTGAACTATCAGAGGTGGGGACACATTTCCTGGCAGAGATAAAACTGCATCCAGCCGCCAATAATAACCATGCCAGAATGCCAAGAGACACACAGCCGGGGCCAGAAGGGACCAGCACGAGGACAGGTCAGTGGTGACGTCCATTCGGAACTCCTACAGAAGGATCCTAAAATAGCCGGAGAAGAGAGACAAAGGTGAGAAAATCCGTGGAGGGAAAACATTTACCAAAGAAATTGAATCTATAAAAAGAGCTAAATAGAAATTCCAAATTTCTAAAATAAGAGAACCAATGGTGTGGGCATGGCAGAGCATACCCCTGCAATCCCAGTGGGGGGGTAGCTGGAGTTCAAAGCCAGCTCGAGCTACACAGTGAGGCCTTGTCACAAAAGACAGGGAAGGGAAGAAGGAGGGGGAGGGGGAGGGAGGGGGAGGGAGGGAGAAGGAAACCAGTAGATAGATTTAGCAACATTATCTAAGTTTTAAATTTTTGACACACACAAACTGTACATATTTATAGACTATCACGTGGTGTTCTGACATATGTGTACATTGTGTGATGTTCAAATCTGCATACAAATTTTTATCTCCTCAAAAGTTCATTGCTTCTTCGTGGAAGAAACATTCAAGACCCTTTGCTACAGTGTTGGGGATACACATAGGACATTGCTGCCATGTGCTGTCTGTGCCACACAACCCCAGAACTTATTTTTTCTGTCTGACTGTGACTTAGTACCTACTGGTCAACCTCCACCCTCCCCATGCACCCCACCCCACTCTCCAGCCTCCGGGAACTCCTCAATTTCTATGACATCATGAGACGGACTTCAAGCATTCTGTATGGGTGAGATCATGTAGGGCTTGTCTCTCAGTGCCTCCCTCCTTATTCCATTTAACACAATGACCTCTAGTTCCATCCACGTTGCACAGATGACAGGATCACATCCTTTCTCTGTGGCTGAGTGGCGACCCATCTTGTGTACCATGTTTTCTTTGCCTGTTATGAGTTGATGGACAGTTGGGGTCTTTCCAGTTCTAGGCGACTGTGATGAACCTGGGGGTGCAAGTGTCTGATGTGCGGGTGTCCTTTGGCTGTATACCCACCATAGGATTGCTGGGTCATGTGGGGTGCTGCTGCTCATTTTTCAAGTAACCTCCATGCTGTTTTCTATACCGGCTGCGCTAACTCACACCCTCACCCAGAGTGTGCGAGCACTCCCCGGCCCCACACTTTGGCTGTTGCTTGTCCTTTGGTGATTTTCCGAAGACAGCCCTCCTGACATGCGTGAGGGGCTGACTCACTGGAGTTTTGATTTCTGTTTCCCTAATACTGAAGGTGTTTTTTTTTTATCCAGGTACCTTTTGGTCATTCATTTGGGAATATTGCCCATTTTCAAATTGGATTTTTATTGCTATTAAGTTATTTGATTCCTTGCATATTCTGGGCATTAACCCTCATCAGATGCATAATTGGCTGGCATTTTCTCTCCATTTGCAGGATGGTCTTTTCATGCTGTTGACTGCTTCCTTTGTGGTGCAGAAACCTTTTAGTTCGACACAATCCCATTTGTCCATTTTCTATTTTATTTTCTATGCTTTTGGGGTCATCATCAAAGAGACATTGCCTGAACTGATATCTTGAAGTTTTTTTTCTATATTTTCTCCTAGTAATTCCAGAGTTTCAGACAAGGATGGCTCAGCATAGACCAATCAATAAATACAGTGTAACCTATCTACAGAAGGGAAGATAACCCCACGTGATGGTCTCGACAGATATAAGGGATGCATTTGATGAGATTCAACATCAGAACAAAGTAAATGTAGTAGAAATGTCCCTGGGGACAGCAAAAGCTAGACCTAGTGAGCCTATGTCCACTGTGACACCAAGCATGGGAACCTGGAAGCTTCTGTCTGAGAGCTGGACCTGACAAGGACTCCAGTGTCACCACTTTTCCTCAGCATGACGAGGAAAGTTCATTGGGGACAGACAGACGTGAAGAGACCCGAGCCAGAAAGGAAAAAGTGACAACGTTAGTCCTTGCGGACGGCATGATCTGACAGACAGAATCCCTTGTAGACACTACTGGAAACGATTACAACTAAGATAACCCAGCAAAGGCACAGGGTGCAGAATCAACACGCGAAAGTCAGAGGCTCCTCCGTCTGCCAGCAGTGAACTAGCTGAAGGAGAAGTCGCCCAAGTAAAAACTGCTTTTAATTGCTGTATCAGTAATAAAGCAATTAAGAATAAGTTAATTGCCGGGCAGTGGTGGCGCACGCCTTTAATCCCAGCACTCAGGAGGCAGAGGCAGGCGGATCTCTGTGAGTTCGAGGCCAGCCTGGTCTCCAAAGCGAGTTCCAGGAAAGGCGCAAAGCTACACAGAGAAACCCTGTCTCGAAAAACCAAAAAAAAAAAAAAAAAAAAAAAAAAAAAAAAAAACCATTAAAAAAAAAAAGAATAAGTTAATTAAAGATCTTTACAACAAAAGCATGAAGTGTGTGAGACAGAAGTGGAGTAGCATGTGGAGGAAAGGTGAACAGCCCATTTTCAGTGCTGCTACAACGATCCGAAGTGACCTACAGAGTCAATGCAATAGTCTCCACATTAATGTCCATGGGACTCTTCACAGAACGAGGAAAAACAATCCCCCCATGTGTATGGACCCACCACAACCACAAAAACCAAATAAACCCCAAGCAACTCCCTCGGAGGGCACAAAGTCACTTAGGCAAAGAATGGAGCAGGAGGCATTGCACTTGACTTTAGAATACGGTACAAAGTTGTAGCCATCAAACAGCATGGGATTAGCTTTAAAAAAAAAAAAGAGAGAGAGATGCAGACATTGGAGCAGATCCGACAGCCTAGAAGGAAGCCACATATCTACCACCAATTGGCGTTCAATAACTGTGCTTAAGATTGGTGGCAGGTAGGCTTTTCAACAAATGCTGCTGGGAAAGTTGGATGTTTGTGTGCAAAAGCATGAAGTCAGACCTGGATCTCACCAGTTCCAGAGATCATCCCCAAATGGGCTAAAGACTTACCCGTGGGGCCTGAGCAAACAGCACTGCGGATGCAGTGGTGCTCTGGGCTAAAGACTGGAGGATAAGCGAACAGAAGGTGTCCGAGTACAGCGTGTAGAGGAGCAGAGCAGAGTGGCTTGCCACGAAACACCCTGCCACGTGGGCAGGTGCAGCTGCGACCCACAAAAGGGGAGAGAGGGAAAGTGTCGAAGCCATGTGTGAGGAACAGCCATTGAGAACTTCTAAACCAAGAGAAGGCTTGGCTCCCCGATGTGGGAAGGTCTGCAAGCCCCAGCAGGATCAAAACAAAGAAAACCACACCCAGGCACCTTCTGGAAAAACCCACTGGAAACAAAAGAAAAACCCTATAAGGCTGGAGGGTAAACTCAGGAGAAGAGGGCTTGACTTGCGCTGAGGCCTGGGTGTGAACCCCAACACGGGGGCAGGGGACTGTAAAGACGGCCCGAGAAAAAGATCCATCATTATCTTTCAAAAGCAAAAATGAGACTGAAAGCTGAACTCTCGCTGAGACGGAGGCTGCAAGCTAGTGGGGTGACAGTCTAAAGTGCTGAAATAAAACAGCTTGCCTGTCTGGATGCCCCATCAGCGGAGAGCCTCCAGGCGAAGCAGCACTCGGGAAGTCATCAAGCACGAATTCACCACCACAGGCTCACACTCACGACATCCTGAAAGCGGTTCTTCCAACGGAAGACAATAATCCGCAGCAGAAACAGGAGATGTCAGGAGGGATGAGGGGCGATGGGGAGGTGCATCTGTCAATTGAGACAGGCATTGTGCGTGTCCCGCAACAATGGGGGAGGCTGGCGAGGCCAGTCTGTTACACTTAAGTGCAGTGCTGCGGCCATGAGGAAGGAGGGAGGGTGTGGAGTGAATGGAGTTAACTGTTGGGACGCTCTAGCAGCCTTGGAAACTGGCCAGGTCTGTATTCACGTGGAGCTGCTACAGATTAGCCAAGGGTGAGTGCTGAGAGCCCCGGGGTAACCGGGATAACCAGGATAACCGCCCCGAATCGTGAAAGTGTTCAGAGCTAGCAAGTTAGGGCAGGGAAAGTGGGATAGCAAAAAGATTTCATTAATCTCAAAGAAGCCGAGAAGCGAGGGGAAACGGAACATGAATCAGGTGAGTCAAACAGAAAGCAGATGCGAGATGACAGTTAAGACCCAAACCTTCAGAAATAATGCTGCCTCGAGCAGGCTCAGGGCCCAGGGAGAAGGCTAATGAAGTCGGACGGAATGTGAGAAATAAAACCCAAGTGTAAGACACTCAAGGAGGTGCTCCTCGAGTCGAAACGCATCAGAACAGGATGGAGGGAAAGGGGAAAGCAGCGGTAGACTACGCAACCACGAAGCAGGCAGAGCTGGTGACAGTGTCAGCCTAGGTCAGGTGGGTAGGCACAGGCGTGCGCCAAACAGTCAGTGCCTTGAGAGGCCATTACAGTACCAAGTGAGCACCGATTACACGGAGCAGAATCCTAGAAGACGGAGAGAAGGGAGAAGCCCTGTCCCTATCCCTGTCCCCGCCGCCCCCGCCCCGCCACACACCGGCAGACTAACTCGCCTCTCAGTTGCTGATTTCATAAGTAAACAAGTCAGTGAGGAGGTAGAATCCAGACTGTTGCAGCTGACAGCCTGACCTAATTGACAAGTGATACAGACCACTGCACCAGGCTCAGCAGCACTCACATCCTCTCAGCATGTGGGAGGTCGCAAGAGCTGCCAGGTGCCCCTCATGAAGCCAGTCTCCCTAGGCCCAACCATTGCCGTGGCTCACAATGTGGTCTCTGGCCATCATGGGGTCAAGGTAGAATACAGTCACATAAATGTGACTGGAGGTGGCCTGGCTGCTTGGAAATGATGCCTGATACCTGTGAATCAAGTCACATGAGAATGCAGAGGCACTGGAAACTCAGGTCTGGCTGACCTGAAGCCGCTAGTCAGGACTGAGAGACACAGCTAAGGCAGGGCTAATAGGGAAAGCTACGTGTGGAAATGGTAACGTCTGCAGCGAAGAGCTGGACACCGGCCATCGAGGCTCCTCGGTGCTGAAGCTGGGAAAGGCTGAAGCTGGTGAAAGCGGACAGAAGGAAACGAGAGAGAGAGTCAGTAAAACGGAGACAAGCATGTGCGAGGAAAATCCTGCTGCAGGTCTTTGCCTCTTAAAAGGGTTCATAAACTATCTGTGTGTCTTACCAAAGTGATTACAGAAAAAAGAAAAGAATTCAGATAAATGATCTCAGAAATTTTTTTTACAAAGGCAGTTGAATCATGAGGACATGCTTCATAACTTTAATAAACTTGGTAACTTA